AAATGTGACTTCGGAAAACACGCCCAAATAACGAACCGGACAAATCGGCGTGTGGAACAGTTTGGGTTCGATTCTCACGTGGTCCGCAGATCATTCTTTCTCTGTCGGAATGGTGTATATCGGGTTTTTCCGCGCACGTGCTTCAAACAAAGCGATTGCCCTGTGTGTGTTTTACTCTTGTGTGAATTTAAGTGATCTGTGTTTGTTTGTCCGTTTTCACCGGGAGTAATATCAGATTTGATAAACAATGCGAATAGGCAGCAGACACACAACGCCCGATTGTCAAGTGGAGACAATTGGGAGTGTGGTCTTGATTCACAAATGTAACGGCACCAGTCTGGAATTGCTTCTCTAGTGACAATACTGTGTGTGTGTGTATGTGAATATATACTCTGCCCGGCCTGGGAACCAGACCGGCATGAATTTTTGACCTGCAGTCAGAGACCAGATCTCACCAGTGATACGGGACGTCGGATAACAAAAGTTTCTTATCTATCTATCTGTCTAGCTATCAACTGAAAAACGCCTCATATCGAAATGGAAATGTGGAACTGAGACGAAAACAGGATAGATGAGGAGACCATCGTGGCGTTGAAGTGTCCTGTTAAGTGACAAGCGGATCTACCTAGTCTTAGGGTGGTAGACCTATCCGAACATACAATCACCATGAGGCTATCTAGCCCAGTTGGATACAACGGGCAGAAGGAAGATTGAAAGAATGAGAGCACAATCTCAGAGGGAGAAAAAAAAAAGAATTGCAAAGATCATGGGCAAAGAGGTCTAGGAGATATTCGTCCGTAGTAAACCAGGCTGGAGCATGAACGAACAGACCCAGAATTGAGAAGAATTAGACATCTGGCGAGATCCGTTTACACGGAAAACAGATTACCCACGTGCGTGTGTGTGTCTGTGTGTGTTACAAGAGTATGCCGCCAAGAGAACGAATTCGAATGTCTTTATTGCCCTTATTCACGCTCAGCGGGTCGGAATCGATAACGATAATTCAGGGTCGGTGATTTATGATTAATAGCACCGGGTAGCTGTTTCGTCCTGTTTGGGACCCGTCAGCAATGCGTACTTTTTGTATCCCTGTCAGGACTCGAATAACGAATATTTGGGTCGGGACTTCAAACCCTTACCCTTGAGCCATACGGTGGACGGTTATCACCTTGTGCTAATGGCTCGATCAATTTAGATGGTGAATATTTGGATTAGCCCATTCGGTTTTTCACAGGCACCAGGTACTGTTGATGGTGATGTTCGGTGTGGGTTTCACTCCTTGGGAGATCGTTAATCCCCCACTGTTTGTTTGTTATCGCAAGTATTTCCAGCGCATTTGAATGCATTCAAACAGTGGGGAATTAAATGTCTCCCAAGGAAATAAAACCCACACTGAATATCATCAACAGTGCCTAGTGCCTGGGAAAAACCGAATGGGCTAATCAAACGTTCACCATCTGTAAAAGAATGCTTGATTGTAAAACACCGTGAAGTAAAGAATCGAGGAGAAAAGGCGGACAAACTGGGGATGCACGTACCTTCGGAATGTGGTCGACTCAGAAGCGTGGTCGGACTGGCCACTCCGTGCACATCGGAGTTCGATTTCGAATGTTTCGCTCGACGTGAGCGTGATTTGACCCCATGCGTCTCTGTCTCACCAATCGACCGATTACGTAACAGATTTCGTTGGCCTTTCACTTGTTTGACTGTGGTAGCACTATCGAAGAAGATGGAACAAAAAAAGCAAGTTCCAATGACATCCAAGAGAGTGGATGGTATGTGTGTGTGTGCGTGTGTGTGTGTGTGTGTAATAGGTTGCGGTGGCAGCGGGAATCACACAAAAAGGTCGGTGGGGAGCAATCAGATAGACAACCATTAACATTTATTACGTAATGCTATAAGCCATGGTTTGCGCGTCCAGCATTTGTGATTGGCATTTGGGAACGGGATGAATGCGTTCTAATCTACTGTATCATAAAGTCACTTGTATCTGCGGAACAATTTCGGCGTATGGGATCAAACGTGTGCATAGCATGTGTGTGTAGAAAACAAATCGCAGAAAAGGAACCGAGTGATTGCATCTGAATAATTTATGGACAAAGCGATTCGCGATCGGAGATGATATATATATATATACATATATATACATATATATATATATATAAGGGAATAGTAGTAGTCTGGCTCCAATGGGATCACCAGAAGACGGACAAGGGAACCGGAGCGGTTGAGCCACAGCGATTGTACGGCTAACAACAACTAGGTATCCGGATAAGAAGAATAAATAGGTATATAGTTCCTGGACAAGAAGGATACATCTCAGAATAATACAGGACCGGAAGTAGCGGTTCCGGGACTCAAAACTTTGGTATCAACATTATAAATAGAATTCTAACAGATAAAGAACAACATTTCGGGGTTTTTTCTTTCGGTTTTGGGATAACATCGGATGAATTCGAACAAAGCGGAACAACAGGTATGAGAGCATTACCGTGGCACCGCGATTGGTTAAGTGAATCGCATGTTTGTATCCATCCTTCCTGTCTCTTTCCTACTTTGTCCAATTTTATCGACCGTACACAGGCGCTATTTGTCTTCTCAGATGATGCAGGAAGAATGGAAATACCATACATACTACGCTGGATGAAGGAAATTGTGGAGCCAACGGGAACGGGACATGTTGTTTCGATGAAGTGAGGCCGTAAACGAATACGGTTCTCCTGGTAGTAGTAGTTTGAAAAGCGCCGCATGTATTTCAATTTTGCGGGAACAGCATCAGCTGAAAGCATTTGGCTGGAGGGTGAACGAATGAGTTCAGTTCAGTTCTTGCACCAATTAACCATGCACATTCGTGCCAAACGGTGCAATGCATTGTTAGCGGTCAGAAGTTGACGTTTTAATCTTGTATGGCTGCAGACGTTAACACAACGGCGGCGACAACAATGGTTTGATCACATTCTTCGTAAGTCTGATAAAGACCTGACCAAAGCTGTTTAGGCACCTCCTCCTTGCCAGAACTGGCGCTGTCGACACGATGGGCAGCTAAAACCCTAGCCTGACACCGTACGAAAGGATACCGAAGACCTTGGTCTCCGCTTCGTCTACGGCATTCGCCAATGGAAGTCAGCATGGATCACAATCTGCGCTGACAGTTGCCGCAGATCGCCGAGCATGGGCAGCGGCAATTCAGGATATCTATGAAGCCGGTTTATTCTCTCCCAGGAGCCAGTCGACGTAAAGTAAGGTAATGCATTATCAGCGACAATTATTTTCTGCTCAGACCAGGAGAAAAACCAGAACATCTATCAAGTCCTTTTTGTCATATCGAGGTACGAAACCCGGTGAACGGATGTCTGCGGGAGCGGGCAGGAGGGCACTAGTTCCCCTGATAAGCTCGCTGAACTTAAAAACATGGCTTCTTTCACTGATTTTTCGACTTTTGCCGTTAATATTATTGGACTGCTTTTAGTAGCCATCTGGACCCTGTAAAAATACCGCATGTTGTTGTATCTCCTCATATTCTTTCATTCTTTTGAGGACATCTGTATTATGGTTCTCATATTATCTCCATGCGTATTAGGTCGGGAAAATAAGGCTTATCGTTCCCCTAAACTTATATCCTTAAAATTGTGACAGACTGTTTTTTTCCACAATGTACATTTTCCCCCTGGTCCAAAATATACTGTTTATATATCCGCATTTCATGCTGTGTACAAGCTGCACGTGATCCATTCATAGGCCACATAGTGTCAAATGAAGATCACCGTTTCAGGGGCTCGTTTTCATAAATACATCTCAGTCCCTTACTATTCATCCAAAGTGTAGCGTTCTCTCCTTGTTCTGTACGGACACTGTTCCGAAATAGGATTACCCGTTACCTGGTTCGAATCTTTTACTACGGGGTTGAGAAACGCAAATCTTTAGAAGAACAGTGTTCACTTGGTAAGAATTTTTAGACCGGTGATCAAAGTCGATTGAATGTTAACACACCGTGTCCACATCTTCCGATTGAACGTAATCTCAACCCAGATATAAATGATCTTGTGATGATCATGAACAAATTCGATATTGTGTGAGCTCATTGAGTATGACCTGTTAACGGCAAACACTATGTGAAGATAAAGCACCCAAGGTCCGATAAATTTTCCATAGAACAATTAAACTTTCAAGAAGGGGTCCGCGGCCGATCAAAGATCGCCTGGTTGGGAGGGTTAAATAAGAACAGGAAACCGATCAGTGAACCAATGGGAAGGTTTCATATACCGTTTCTCTTATAACTTCAATAGGAAGAGATCAACCTCATCACACACAAAACAATTCGGGAAAAGATCACAAAATTGTTGAAAGTGAACATGGCCCATATGAAGCACTGACAAAACGCGACGCGCGGAGATGAAACGATCACAAGGACTCGGCACAAAGTATCGATCGATCGCAAAAATCACGCGGGTAGGAAAATTCCGAATCTCATGCATTCATCCATGTACCCAATTCATATATGTAGTTACATCAGCCGTTCCAATTAACCGCAATAATTTACCGCAAAAAAGGGAAAATCTGAACACGTCATCGATTGCGAAACAGTGCGACAAGTGAAATAAGTCCCAGAGGATTAGCAACCGTATTGGGCAAGCTCACTCTCTACCCCCACCCTGCACCCCGAAAAATATTTACACATACAAAATCCTCTCCTGTCCTGGTCGTCGTAACGCGAGTCCTGAAGTCAGTTCCAAGTTCAGGAATGATAAAAAAGTCAGCAGTAACGCGGAGTAGGATGAACTTTGAAGATGATTGATGATAATGCGGTCGCGTGCGTGCATGGAGGAAACCATATACATCTCGATTTTGTGGGTTATAAAGATAACCGAGTGACACAATTCGCGATCAATTGACTGGTTGTGTGTGGAAGCCCCCAAACGTAATGATACGCAGTGTACACGAAGAGTACGGGATGCAGACGAATGACCGGACAAAGAGAACGTGCACTGTAGTTTCGTATTGTGCATATGGTTCAATGATTGCAATTCACACAATCAAATACGAACACAGCCAAGCACACAGCTCGGACGGTCGTAAGGATGGAACACAATGGATTTCACTGGATTTGAGTAATGATTTTCTACGATTACGAATGCGGTTTAAATCAGCAGCAGAGTGTTGATCGACGTTCCCAAATGACAAGTACATGGCGAGTGGAATCCGATACGAGTCACCAAAAACTGCAGTGCAGATTCTTATGGAACTGGTCGAACGGTTGTTACCCGCTTCGGTAGGTAGTCGAGCTGTTTCACCAAATGGTTTGAGTGCATGGAACTGTGTGTGTGTGTGTGTGTGTGTGCATGAACGTTGGAGGTGGAGAATACTTCGAGAAAACAAAATGCTTATTGTTCTACAACGAATAGAACTTTGCGTGCATCCAGGAACTTCGTATTAAGCCCTCGTATCAGTTTAAGTTTTTACAACCATTAAACATGTGCACTTTCGTGCGCCGGTTTCGGTTGCTGTCTTTAGGTTGGCCATTTGGATAAAAGAGCAGAATGAAGATTGGAATGTTGAGAGCAAATTTAATCGGAAGATAGCGAATTTATACAGACCGAAGTTGCCGGAATAATGAGTAGATGCATGAGCGTCATTGTTTGCGACACCCAGTCATATTGCTCAGTGTCTCTAACCATCGGTGACAATCATCTCTGGGTCTGCAGCCAGGGAGCTTAACAGGACCTATGTGACCCAGACTCCTGGCTGGGGTTTTCAAACCCTCATGCCAGGTCCTCGTTTGACCGCCCTTGATGTTCTCCCAACCGTTACCTGCCTCGGCAAACATCGCTCGCCGTGGCAACCTATTTGGTGACATGCGTAGCACATATCCCAGCCAGCGCAACCTATGACGGTCGACTACTTGCTCCACTGGGCGAACACGATTACCTAAAACTCTACACCTAACATCAGCATTGCTCGTCCAATTATCCCACCAGACTCGTGCAATGGTACGTAGACAGTGGTGTTCGAACATCAACCATCTATTTTCATCGTGTTCCCGTAATGGTCAAGTCTCGGCACCGTAGAGCACCAGCTGCAGAACTGTCGCAGCATATACTCGACCTTTCACAGACAACCGGATGTAGTGACGACACCACAGATGTGTTTAGTTGGCAAATGCCAATTGAGCCATTTTTATGCGTGCCGACACTTCATCCGTGATGCGTCTGCCAGCCCCCATTTAGTTTTTTTTTCTGTTTTTACGACCATTACAATCATACACTTTCGTACGGCAGTTTTGATTGGTATCTCATGACTATCTATTGGGATGAAGGAAACAAGAGACAGGTAAGAGTGAAAAGAGAGTTGAAATCAAATTGAGAAGATACACGAGCGCCACTGTCTACGAAATTCTGACAGATCACAAAACGTGGCAACAGGATTGTCGAGCGTTTGGTCGATGAAAACCAATGTTGTTGCAGTGTATCAATCGACTTGTACCCAACCCGGAGGTGCATTCCGGTGGTATTAATTCGATAAGTCAGTTTAAATGGGTAAGTGATGGCCATATTTATTTAACCATTTTTGGTAAATGTGTCTAGTGAGACATGAGACACACAGCTTGTAGACGAGTTGGGCAAACCATATTTCTGTTGTATTTTTGCTTTAGTTTCATATTTCACCCAAACTGATGTTTTTGAAATGTAAACCAAATACAGGATCCGGTGTACAATCTC